ACAAGGTAGGCCCAGTTTGGGGTCCTGACTCTACCTTGCTCTTTCTTCTTGTTGACTTTTGTGAAAATTACTCAACAATCTGTTCAGCCTCTGTTGAACAAGGTGTCAGCAAAGTCTAGCTCAGACCAGTCAGGGGTTGTATCACAGGGCCCATAGACAGGGTGACAGAGGCAAATACTCAAAGGCTTTAGCATTCCCACCACTGTCTGCTTGTCCGCCTGGTCCTGAAGTGGCCTCGGCATGGCCAGGAAATCCAAAACAATCCACTCCTCTCACAAGATAGAGACATAAACTGACAAGTGTGGAGCTGGGCAGTTCTCTCTGAAGAATGATCCCGGGGATTCACTCATCTGGGTAGTCCCCTGATGCCAATCAAAAGGCATCAGGACTTCTGTCTTGTGTCAGAGCCTGCCACCTGGACCCGTGCAGCATCTGAAGCAAAGACCTGTACTGGAAAGGGAGGATGGCTCTGGTGGTGAAGCCAGTGTCATCCCAGGAATGCTGGCAGCTCCAGCGACAAGGCCTACCTTGGATTGGTACATGGGTCTGACCAGGTGACCCAGAGATAAGGCTCCCAATCAAGGGTCTGGAGAGTCGCCATGTCATTCTTTAGTCCACCCTCAGTGGGTAAACAATTCCTACAATTCCTGAGACACTGGCTCAGGCCAATCACCCTACATAGTCACATTGTCAGCCCTGTTCGCACTGACAGGAGGGCCTGAGTCCCCCCAGGGCTGTGAGGCTCCTCACTGGCCCTAAGGTAATTATTTGTACCTGCTTTGAATAACACTGTGTAATCACAAAGCAGTGAACACTGACCAAAAAAATGACCACTGCTGTCTGAGAGATCCACGGTCACCGGGTATTTGATGTATTGCTAATATTAGTGTGTTGGTTTTTTAAACTCCAAAATATTAAATTTAAAGGAACAGACTACTAAAATGAATGGCTAATGGGCCAAAGACAGAAATCATACCCTCCTTTCCTTCTTTGTCAAGTACTTAGTAAGGACTTTACTGCACATCTGATCTGGGAAAAGTGTGGCTCCATGGAACTGCTGAGATTTCATCTTCCCTGGAAGTAATGGGCTCAGCACATCAGCCAGTGTTCGCAACAGGAAACTTACCAGGAGTCAGGAGGCCTGACCTTTGCCTGCCCTGAGCCCTCCTTTGCCTTTCTCCTGAATTTGATGTTCCAAGAATTTCCAGCACACACACATGCCCACTAGGACTCCCAGGGTGCCCCAGCCTGTGTTTGAGACTGTTTCCTGTTTTCTCACATCTTAAATATTGTCCAATATTCATGTTCTTGCCTCGTCCCTTCATTTGTTCTGCCCTGTCATCATGTTGCCTGACCCAAGGCATCATTTCCTGACAGAGTACCCAGGAGGAACTCTGGGCTTGGACTCGGCCACCCAGGCCCAGGGCCTGCCTCAGCACCCAGACAGGTCAGCATGCGGTCCACGAATGCAAAGCCCAGAGCTGCATAGATGCTTCTCTTTTTTTCATTTTGTTATTGGGGTGAGATTCACATAGCATTAAACCATCTAACTCAGTAACATTTAGTACATCCTTAAAGTTGTACAAGCACCACCTCTATCCAGTTTGAGAACATTCTCATCACTTCAGAAGGAGACCTGGTACCCATTAAAATGATTTCTCCTCATAGCTTTACTTACTTATTTTTTCTTGGCCCTAGGGCAAAAGGTGGCTTTTATTTCCTTTTGGGGAAGGAAGGAGAGGAGAGCTTTCCCAGGCACACAAACCTAAGGAAGGGTGACTGCACCCCCAGGGGAAGGGGCTGGAAGAGTAAATCACTCAGAAGGGCTCATCCTTGTCCACTTCTGGGTCCTCAGCTGCAGGCTGTGCTGAGGTACAAGGAGGCATCTGCTAGTATTCACAAAGAGGAGGGGAGGGCAGATGCCCTGAGTGAGGGAGCAGACAGCTGTGGTGGCCAACCCCACAACCAATGCCTGCCCAGTATGACAGCTTTCATAAGGCCTGACTGGTGTGACTCTTCTCTCGAGAGGGGCCTGAGGGGCCCACAGGTAATGCTCGATCCAATGGCTGGTCTTTAAATGTCCATCTCAAACTGTGACTCTTCACCACGTGCCCGCTTGCCTTCTGGGCTATTGCACAGGTGGCTCTGGCTAGCTTCCATGGGGGCCTCATCACTGGCAGGGCTGGTGACCCAGGGAATGGTAGGTAGATCTCTCAGGAGTGTTTTGGTCACAGGAGAGTTTCAACACTCCATCGGGAATTTCCATTTGTAGATGATCCTGGTATCTCCTGGGATAGTGCTGAAGAGCATGCCACCAGGGGTCATGCTGTAGTCCCTGGGGGACTGCTGCATGCCATTATCAAGCACCACTTGACAGGTGGCAGGGATGGCCCAGCTTGGGGTCTGGCTGCAGCTGCTGCTTTTTTTTTTTTTTTTTTTGAGACAGAATCTTTCTCTCTTGCCCAGGCTGAGTGCAGTGGTACAATCATAGTTCACTGCAGACTCAAACTCCTGGTCTCAAGGGATCCTCCTGCCTCAGCCTCCTGAGTAACTGGGACTACAGACACACCACCATGCCTGGCTAATTTTTTAAATTATAGTGATGAGGTCTCACTATGTTGTCCAGGCTGGTCTCAAAACTCCTGGGCTCAAGCGATCCTCCCACCTCAGTCCTCCAAACTACTGGGATTTTAGGCATGAGCCATCACACCCACCTCCCATAGATTCTTTTTTAAACAGAGTGGAACTTTTAAAATGTCTGCAGCTAAGCCAAGCTGTCTGTGTTTGTAGATGTGCCCCCCCGATCTCAGAGTGGGTCTCTGGGCTTCCTGGTAGGGTCGAGATAACCTCATCTTTAGCCAGGAACAGTCACTAAAACACACACTAGGAATCCCGAAAGGGTTACCCTCCCCAGTGACCCCAACGCCACTTCCCAAGAGCATGGTCCTGGGTGGGCAGCAAGAATCCTTCCTAATTTATTAGGTAGATGCACACCAGACATCTCACAAGGGGAGGGGATATCCAGCTGTGTGTTTTCAGGCTCTGTTTATCAGCTACGTGGCCAGGGTATAAGTTAAGCTTTCCTGGACAGAAACGGGAAGCACATACCTCCTCCTACCCTGTCTCCTGTACTGTCCCAATTATAGCCCTAGGGCCTCCCACCAAAGGAGCAGGACTGAGAGATGTGGGCTTGGTATCCACCTCGCAAGGCTCTTCTGACATGCTGGGATCAGATACATCACAGTAGCGGGACTGCACTTAAGAAGCAAAATAAGGCCGGGCTTAGTGGCTCAGCCCATCATCCCAGCACTTTGGAAGGTCGAGGCGAGTAGATTGCCTGAGCCCAAGGGTTCAAGACCAGCCCAGGCAACTTGGCAAGACCTCGTCTCTACAATAAATCAAAAATCAGCCGAGTGTGGTAGCACGCGTCTGTAGTTCCAGCTACTCGGAAGGCTGAGGCGGGAGGATCACCGGAGCCCAGCAGGTCGATGCTGGGGTGGCTGTAAGTGTACCATGGCACTCCAGCCTGGGTGACAGAGTGGGACTCCAACTCAAAAAAAAAAAGCAAAATAAAATTACAGTGGCCTCAAACAGGAGACAGAGGACAAATAAATTGATAGATTTGACTGCAAACTTTTTCCTCACCAAAAGAAAAATGTAAATAAGTTATAAGTAGCAGAATAGGAAAGGACATTTGCATTATCTGAGTTAAAGAATATCACAGCATATATTAAAATATAATGCAGACTGACCAAAGTGAAAAAGACTTGCAAACATCAAATGTCAAAAAAGATTTGAGGACACTGGCTCGTGTACATTTCTGCTGAGAGTGTAGATTGGCACCCACTCACTCGTCCAGCAATAGGGCCTTGCCTGAGGAAATTGGAGTTGTTCAGAACATGGGACCAGCAGTTGCGTTCCTTCTCACTGTGCACAGGACACATGAAGTCACTGAGTATGCTGTGGCTTACAAAGTCAGGAAGAGCTCAAATGATGGGGTTAGTATATAATGGAGTATTACACAAAAGATTAAATGAATTAAGCAGATCTGTATATATCAGGTCAGATAAACCCTCAAAACATAGCATTATTACTTCTTTGGGGAGCATGTTTTTAAAAATACAAAAAAAAAAAACATTAAAGGGAAAATGAAAATCAATAGAAACAGGCTCCACCTTGAAACTGAAGAACTTTTGAGATGTGGCAGGCGAGTTATATTGTTTATGGATGTGCATCTGTGGGAAAGCTTCAGTGGCTCCGCGTGGGAGATACTCTCAGCTCACAGGACAGCTCCTCTTGGGCAGAGAGGGCAGGTGATGCTTTTGCCATGCCTAAAATTATACTTCTAAAAAAAAAAAAGCACAATCTTAGCTACTATTAGGTCTGAGTGGTAGGTACAGGGATTACTCTGGTGTTCTTTAAATAAGCTTTATCCTTCAACTTTTGAAATTAAACCTTGTCTTAAATGGAGGCCTATGTGAGGCTGAAGTTCTCTGCTACCATCCAATCCCAGACGTAAAGAGAGTACCCTTGGCTCATTCTGTTTATACGTCCATTGTTCACCCCTGTCGGTAGTCAGCACCCCACTGCGAAATGCAGCTGACCCAAGGTCCGTGCAGGGCACTTGTTTTTCCCCAGAAGAATTGGGTTCCCCCAACTCTGACGTGACCAACAAAAGGACTTGTCTTCATGTTGTGACAGCTGTTCTCAAGTCACCCAGACATGTCAGCTGTGCCCAGGGTTCTGGAAGGCAGGTGTCTCAAACAGAAACTGTTTGTACTGTTCCTCTAGCAGAGGCCTTGGGTCTAGCAGCGTTCTGGGGGAGGCTCTGGATTGTTGCCCTGACCTGGACTCAGGGTACCCTGGAAACCCCAGTACAAGCTTTTGTTGGAAGTGGGGATTCACCTGATGGGCTCAGGTGGTGACAGATGCTCCTTGGAGCCACCGGCAGAGTGTCCACCCAGAACAGGCTTCCCAAGTGTCCCCCTCTGTCCCTCCAGGAGCTGGGATGGTAGTAGACTGGGAGCAGGAGACCGGCCTCCTCATGAGCTCAGGGGACGTGCGCATTGTCCGGATCTGGGACACAGACCGCGAGATGAAGGTGCAGGTAACCTCACTGGGCCCCCCTGGTGCCTGATCCCTGTGCGGCCTTTGGGGCCGTATGTTCAAAGCCCACCCTTCATCCCTTGCCCAAGTTCTCCCACACTCTCCCCTCCACAAAACAGATCCCACCTTCGCCACAGAAAGCCAAGCACTGTGGCTCACAGGGCACAACATACAATGGAATCTCATCTCGGGAGGAGGGATGGTCTAAAATGAGGCCTCAACTCTGGGGAGAGACACAGATGTTCTAAAGCTCTGGATATACGTTCATTGTGACACTTAACCCCACATTGCAGTATAGTTAAGCCTATGCTAATCCTAGTTATTTTCAAATATCCCATCTGTGCAAATTAGACAATTTCAGAAATCAGCAGGGTGAAATGTTTTAAATTAGAATGATTAATTATTTGGCTGTATGCTTCTTAAAGTGTTTGTTGTTTTTAGTTTTAACAAAAAGAGGGAGGAGTAAATTGGTTTTGCCTGAGACACCCTGGAAGAGTGCTAGAGGCCCAAGCAGGAGGCCACCGACTAGAAACCAAACTCTGCTGGTTTGGTGTGAAGCACAGGTGAGACTGCAGACACTGCAGGGTTGTGCTAGGGCCAGGGACTTCCTCAAAGGTCCCCAGGGAGAGGTGTGCAGAGTGGAGACTGTCTCCAGCCTCTCTTGTCCTTCCCCACCCATGTGTAAGGCACAGGCTGTTTGGGGTCAGGAAGGGTGTTTGGCGTCAGGAGGGATGTTTGGTATCAGGAGGGTTGCTTCAGCGCCAGCTCCCAGGGCAGAAATAGGAGGGAGATGGGAAGCGAGCCACGCAGAGGTAGGGCCTAGGCCTGGGTCCTCCGGGAGCAGCAGCCTGAGAACCAGCCCCAGGCCTCTCTCTCTCATGGTCAGCCTCCCCTCTGTCCTGTCCTCAAATTCCACAATGGCGACTGTAATTACACTTTCTGGGAGGCCCCAGACCTGCCTGGAGCTATGGCCTGATGGGTTTTACACTCTTCTGGACACCAGACACAGCCCTCAGGGGATGCTCAAGGGTCCAGTGACCAGCTGGAGTGTAGAAGGCCTTGGTGACTGCTCCAGAGAGCAGCTTCCTGTGGCCCCGGGCCTCCTCAGGCTGTGCTGTTCTCACAGAGGTGCAGAGCATGGCAGTGCCTGCGTGGCCACCTTCACCCCTCACGTATAGCCCCTCTTCCATTTGCCAGGATTTCTTCCTCAGTGTGTACAGCAGCAAGGCCTCTCCTGATTGGAAAGGACTTTTCCCTCTCGTGGCCCATTTTTTATCTCCGTACTTCCTGCCAGGTGTCACGACTCCTGCCCTTCTCAGCGTTTACGGCCGCCCAGGGAGGTGAAGAGCCCCTTCTAGACACTTCCCTCACCTCATTAGAAGTTTTGTGAGGAAGCTAACAAGGATTCCTCCTTGCCAAAACATGTTCCATCTTTCGTTTTAGGAAACAGGGAGATGTTTTTGGAAAGTTTAATTGGCACTGAAAGCCAGTTGTTGGCAGAGGCATTTGCAGGCCGCCACCGGGATCGGGGCTTGCAGGCTCTGTCTCGCTGGGGGCACAGGTGCGGCCAGCTGTCCCTCAGAGGAATGAGGGACAGGGCGTGAATCGGTTGCCCTGCCAGCGCCCACCTCTCCCTGTGTATCTCAGGCTCTCTGTGCCTTTGACACCCCCTGAGTGGAAATAAAGGCCCCACAGCCCTGGTGGGTGATGGCACGGCCCCCATAGGCTGCAAGATAAACTCCAGTGTTGCAGGAAGTCGAACAGGCATGTGATGCCACAGTCGTCACCAGGCTCTCTGTGTTTGGGCCCTAGGACATCCCCACTGGTGCAGACAGCTGCGTGACAAGCCTGTCCTGCGACTCCCACCGCTCCCTCATTGTGGCTGGCCTCGGCGATGGCTCCATCCGTGTCTACGACAGGAGGATGGCGCTCAGCGAATGGTAATTCAGCCTCTTTACCCCCTTCCTTTCCCCTACCCCGGTGCCAGACCGGGGCACCGGTCTAGAAGGTAAAGGTCGAGTCACTGCAAGTTTGCTGGATCCAGATTTCACTTTCTTTCCTGGTCCCAGGCCCTGGGCCGGCCAGCTTGTTCAGCAAGCACTAGCTGAATGATTAAAATCAGAGGGATGGGATATTGCTCAACATCCATTCCAGAACACTGCTGAGGCCCGGCTCTGTGTGCTCTGAGGCTGCAGTGGGCCTGGGCCGAGTGTGCAACCTCCAGGCAGATCTGGTATCCCAGGCCTATGACTCGAGGCTTGCTATGTGTGGTGTGTGGACAGAGTCCTCAAGAGCTTCTGAAACGTCACACTCCAGCCCTTCCGGTGACCCTAGCACACACAGCCAGCAGCTCCAAAGTGTCCTTGGCCAAGGGCCGCACTGTGGTGGTTCCAGGAAGGTTCCCGTGTCCCTCAGCTCCAGCAGCTTTAGGGTTGAGATTCTCACGTGCAAGCGACACTGGGAGACGTTTGGAGAGCAGCAGAGCCGAGGAATGACTGGGCCTAGGAAGGTCACGATGGCCACCCACCCCCGGTCTTGTCTCTGCGTGGCTCCAGCATGGCGCAGGCTGCCCTCCGGTCGCCTGACAGTGGCCCTGAGTCAGCCCAGGGAAGACGTGGAGGGTCCCTGCTAGAGCAGGTCCCAGCGTAGGCACTTGGACGTTATGGGGAAGAGATAAGACCCGCACGGCGCGGCAGGCCTAGGCAGTCTCCAGTCGGCACGCCATTTCCCTCCACTCAAAATGAGCCACGCTCGCGCATGGGGCAGCCAAGGAAACCACATGGCTGTTCCCCAAGCCCTGGAGGGTTGGGAAGAAGAGCAGGTGCCAGACGTACCGCGCCCTGGCCCTGACCGCGCCCTCCCCCGTCTCCTCCGGCAGCCGCGTCATGACCTACCGCGAGCACACAGCCTGGGTGGTGAAGGCCCACCTCCAGAAGCACCCCGAGGGCCGCATCATGAGCGTGAGGTAATGAGCATGGAATATTTATGAGACATTTGCTGTAAAAACATTATTTTCCCCTCCATTTAAAATATGTCCTTGGTATTTAAACAGCTGGGAAGTAATGGCATTCCGGGGCAGTAATTAGCTCTGCTCCAGGACTGGCCAGAAAGGTCAAGGCACAGCACGAGGGGCAGTGGGGACACAGCTGCTCCCCTGCCAGGGAAGTTTCCTTGGCTTGGCAACTACAGCGTGTGCAGGGGGAGGTGGGTGGGTGGCTCTGCTTCCACAGGGCAGACGGCCAGAGGCGGAGGGGCCATACACATCGCCAGCACGTTGCTGTGCAGGACTGCCTCTGTCAGCCCGCATCTGCACGTAAATCCAGTTCTGCTCCTCAGTAAATACTGTGCTGAGAGCAGTGAGTATTTATTTGTCCATTAAAGGGACAGCAGAATGTAATTGACTATCAAAAAGCCACCATTCCTCCAAAGGGATGCACTTTTCCCCTTGTTTGTGACATAAAAATCACACATAACTCTTGGGACGGACGTCCACCGGCAGTGGAAGGGAGAGGCCACAGAGCCTCAGAAGGCCAGGCCTCCCCATGGGCCACATGCCTGCCGCCCAGGTTCTGTCTCCATGACCTCAGGCCCCAGTTGCAATCTTGTCTCTGTGGCTGGAGACAAAACAGGTGGCTCACATCTGCCCCTGAGTCTCTGCTTCGGACTGTTTCTCCAGACCAGGGGACACAGGCCTTGCAGCAGGGCCCAGCAGCTACCCCCGAGATACCACATCCATGCCTTTTCCTGGCTGTGGAGGAGCTTGGTGAGCACATTAGCCGTGGGGACCAGTGGGAGCAGGTGTGTGTGGGTTCAGGCGACTTTTTCCTTGATCACTGTGCAACACATGTGACTCCATCCAGTGACACCATCCCCCAGACCAGGACCTTCCCAGAGGCTCCAGGCAGGAACATCACTGTGACCCTCTCTTGGCAGTGTCAATGGAGATGTGCGTGTCTTCGACCCACGCTTGCCTGAGTCTGTGAACGTCCTTCAGATCGTGAAGGGACTGACGGCCCTAGACATCCACCCCCAGGCCAACCTGATCGCGTGGTAGGTGCCGCCCGCCTTCCCCCCAGCCCCTCTTCTGAGCAGAAGGCCTGACCTCCTCAGAGGCCCTCAGAGCCACAGTGGTACACCAGCCTTGGGGGCCTTGATGCAAACAGCAGGCGCTGATGTTTCTGTGCCCGGTGCCTATTGGATAAGCACAGACTGTCACACACTAGAAACAAAGGGCCTCTTCCCTGCCATCCTCCCTCCCAGAACAAGCTCTCAAGGGCCCTGCAGGCTCCTCTGTGAGTGGAGCCTGAGTCCTCGCATGGGGGTAACAAGAGGGTCACACATGCCCTGCACCTCCCTTTCCCGGGGTCTTGGCCTCTGGGAAGACCCATCTTTCTTCAATTCACCGTAAGCTCTTCCCCCCCGCAGTGGCTCCGTGAATCAGTTCACTGCCATCTACAACGGTAACGGGGAGCTGATCAACAACATCAAGTACTACGACGGGTTCATGGGGCAGCGTGTCGGGGCCATCAGCTGCCTGGCCTTCCACCCGCACTGGGTCAGTACCTCCGTGGGGCGGGGGAGTGGGGGGTTTGGGGGATAGAGAGGGGAACGGGTGGGTAGCTGCAATAAGCCGTCATGGCCGCCCTGCACTGCAGTTGGGTCCATGGGGCTGCCTGAGGGAGTGACTTGCCCTGGGACCCAGTATCTCCAGGAAGGGAAGCGGAACCACCTTCCTTGTTACTCAGTGTCCCTTGGCCACTACTCTAAGGCTTTCCCCAGGTGCCCCCAGGCAAGGGCTCAAGGGTGTGAGGAGGGAGCAGCCCATGCCCGTGTGCCTCACCTGGCCCTCACCACAGTCTCTCTGCGTGCTTGGGGCCATTGTGTTTTAGATTAGGATTCTGCCAGCCTGCCTTCTGCAGCGTGCAGCTCCACGGGAGCCCCGCATGCAGCTCTACCAAAACACATGACACTAGATTCCCAGAATGTCCCCGTGGGGCGTCCCTGAAAAGAAAAATGCGGGGCACTCTGGGTAGTATGCAAATCCCCTGTAACGAGTAGGGTGATGCGGCATCCCTGCTAAAAGCTGGCAGTCACTGGCCGTCGTGCCTGGGCCTGAGTGCCGGTGGGGTGATGAGCCCAGGGTAGAGTTGATGGGCACAGAAGGGCCCGCACCTCTCCCTGGTCCCTGCTCGCACCCGAGCCTGCTCACCATCCTCTGCTTTCTCTCGGCAGCCTCATCTGGCAGTGGGAAGCAACGACTACTACATCTCTGTGTACTCGGTGGAGAAGCGCGTCAGATAGCGGCGCCCCCAGCCCGCCAGGCCACAGCCTGCTGTACATAGTGAACTGCCATGCGGAGCAGCTGAATGCTGCTCCCGCTGGAGCTGGTGACGGCTGCAGGAGGGCCTTCCGCTTGCTTTTTATGTCTTCACTGTAATGTCTAGAAAGTCAGGGAGGGCAGCTTGAGTGGACGGTGGCTTCTCGCACCAGCGTCCAGGCACCAGTCCCATGGCCACATGCCTCACGGTCCTTCTCCTGTTCTGTTTTATTCTGAGATTTTTAAAGAGGAAACACACTCGTTTTATTTTCCATGTAATCAGAACATTCGCTGCCGAAAAGCTCCCAGGCACAGCCCTGGTGGAGAGGCAGGTGCTGGGGTCACATGGTCCCCTGGAGGCCATCCCCTTCCGGCCAAGAGCAAGCGAGAGGTGCTGCCCCGCCAGGCCTACTGTCCTTGCAGTGAGTGACGCAGGCAGGGGACGTTTCCAAGCAAGTTGGAAGACACTGGAAATTCAAGAACCGGGGAAGAGGAAGATGGAGATGTCCCCGCAGCCGCCAGGCATGGAGGAAGCAGCCCAGAGCCCAGTGCCTCCTGGAGTCCCTCAGGGCTGCCCGGCCAGGCCTCCTCATCCACTGGCTATATCACTGCAGTGTGAGAGGGGCAGGCTCGCCCTCCCTCACGGTCCCCCTCCTTCCCAGCAACCCTCACCCCCACCACTAGGTCTTTGAGTTCCTATTTTGGCCCCTCTCGCCAGAGCCCGGTAGCAGGAGGGGGCTCTGTGGCTTTGGACAGACGAGGCAGGTCCTTGGCGATTTAGCCGCTGCCTAAACCACAGGCTCATTTCCCGCTGAAGGGCGGCTCTTCCCACTCTCCCTGCCTGAGCCCCTGTGCCCGCACGCTCATTACACAATGTGGAGGCACCGCCAGACCCCGAGGGGCTCCGGGGAGACGCCAACCCATCTCCAGCCCCTTGTCTCACGTGCTGGTGTGGCTGCAGCCCACGTCCTGGGCTCTGCAACGCAGAGGATTCCTCGGTGATTGCTTCAGCGTGTGTCAGCATGTGCATGTGGGCAACCATGCACATGCAAGACGGGGAGAAGGCGGACAGTCTAGCCCCAGGAAGGACCACAGAGAACGTGTGAGCAATTGCCCCAGACAGAACACAACCTAATGATGATATTTTGAAAAGCGTCTGTTTCCATTTTCCTTGGGAATCAGGATTATTCAGAGATAGAGGAGTGAGGTGGCTTAATTCTGCCAGTCAAAGGCCAACAATAGTGGGATGAAGTAAGCGGGTGAAGGAGAGTTGAGACTCCCTCGCACTGTGGATGATGATTCTTTGGCTAAGAGTGTCTTCTGGGTGGATGGAGCCCTGCCTGACTGCACTTGGCCTTGGGCCAACCCAGAATCTGTACTGGGGCTGGACGGGGCTTGACAAGCAGGATGGAGGTGGCATTGCTGCCCCCCTAGGAAATGTGTGCTCCACCAAAAGACGGTTCTGGCACGAGATCCCAGCCCCACGATGGGTGAAGGAGCAGCCGGGGGTCAGGAAGGCCAAAGAATGTCCCAGCACCCCCATCCCACAACCTCAGCCTCGCTCAGCTCTGCAGGGCCCTCCAGATGGCGACATGCTAGAACCTTCCAGAAGCTGAGCTCCCCCACAGCCACTAAGAGCTTCTGACCCACCATAGCTGGCTCAGTGGCTCAGCTCGATTCTGACCTAACATGTGTTTCTGTTTGTGTTGAGACAAAATCACTACCTGGAAAAGTTCAGATGGCCCCAGAGGGGGCGAGACGCTCCCATCCCTCCCCGTCCCCATTCTGGAACCTGCCCATTGTGGGCACCACATGCTGCCCGCCATGGGCTGTGACTTCACAGGTCTGATGCGAAAATTCAATCATGAAGTTAGACGAGGCTCAGGAGAGCACTGACCTAAAGGTTCATTTATCTCTATTTATTTTACCAAAATGAGAATTGCGAAAGACTTTGACAAAACATGGAATTGTAATGTGAAACTAAGAGCAATGACACACAATAAACTTAATAAAAAATAAACAAGTGCAGAGACAATGGGCTGCAGCTTTGTCTTTTAAGGTAACCGTGTCCGCATCTGTGCTGAGGGCCATCAGCGAGGTCATCTGGGGAGTGTTGGCCGGAGCAGGGGTCTTGGAGAGGGACACTGCCCAGGTCCTGTCTGCAATTGGCCTGGCCGTCCTGTGCTGTGCCCAGGGCCACGGGCAGCTCTGCATCGTGGACACTTTCCACACAGACCCCGGGGCCATATGAGGCCTGGTGTGTCTGAGCAAGCAGAGGTCTTGTTCCTCATCAGCTGGGGCAGCAGAGAGGAGAAGGCACCACGCCTTCCTGGGCAGGGCCCCACCCTGTGGCTTGGGCCTTACACCAGCAGCAAGCCTGCCCGAGAAAGGAAAGGCCAGCTCCAGAAGGGACTCCAGAGGCCATCTTTGGGCTCATTTCTCTCTTCTTAAAATAACACAAAGTTGCCATCTTACGGTTAGGAGTCCGATGCCCGTCTCAGCATTAAGATCAAGATGTCATCGGGCTATATTCCTTCTGGCTCCAGGGGAGAATCTTCCTGACCTCCTCCAGCGTCTAGAGGCTGCCTCATTCCTTGGCTCTTGGCCCCTTCCTCCATCCTCAAAGCCAGCAATAGCCCGTCAAGTCTCACTTCTCCCACTCTGACCCTCCTCTTCCCACTTCCACCTTTAAGAACCCCTGTGCTCTCCTGGGAAATCCAGGATAATCTCCCTCTTAAAGTCAGTTGATCACAACCTTGATTCAGCCTGCAACCTGAATCCTCCTCTGCCAGGTAGCCTAGCACAGCCTCAGGTTCCAGGATTAGGATGTGGATTATTCTGCCAACCACCCCCCAACCCTGTCTTCAAAGACCCTTCTGCCCGGCAGAGCCCACAATGCTCTGAGAGGCCTTGGGCAAGCAGGAGGTGGGCAGACATGGGGTGGGAAGGAAGACACTCAGTGGGCGTCGGGGTGCACCAGCCCCAGACATGCCACCCAGATCCCTGGTGTGGCATGCCAGCCACCACGTCCTGGGGTCCTGCAGGCTGTCAGTAAACAAGTGATTCCCTGATTCCCTGAGACATGGCAACTGTTCCAGAGTCCCTGAGCCCCAGCCAGAAAGGTGGGAAGGTGAGCAGTTGCCATGGAAACTATTGATTTCCGGGTTTAAATGAGGATACCCAGCGTTTATGAGCTTTGCCAGGCATGCTGCAGTTGAGAGAGTCATATTTCTCCCATTAGCATCCATTTTTCTGTCCCTGCAACTTGAGTACAAATCGAGTGCTCATAAACACGGGGGACAAACACGTGGCCAGAGCTGGCCTCGGGAGGAAGCAGGGGCCGAGTGGGTCTACGTCCACTCCACACCCGCCCCCCACCACTCTTGGGCCCCAAGTCACTGTGGCAAAGGGGCTGGGCTGCCAGCAGCACTGCATGGACCAAAGGGGCCAGGGCAGCCATCCTGGGAAAAGAGAGCTGATGGGAGCTGCCCCTCAGCAAGGCTCAGACGATTACAGAGGAGTTCCAGTCACTGGAGCAATGATCACAGAGGAGGACCAGTCAATGAAGCACCAATCGCTGATGAGGGTCAGTGGTTTAATTTAACGTTTCACGTTTCTGTAAACTGTATTCCTGCGCTGACTCACCCCTGTCCTCCCTTCCCAGGACACAACTGCAGACCCCTCCTCAACTGCCACCGCCCCCAGCCTCTGCCCCGAGCCTTCTGCCCACTCCATCTTCAGGAAGCGACCTCGACGCAGCTGTCCAGATGACTGTCCTGCCCACCGCGTCCCACTGAGTCCCCTAACGATCGCGTCATCTGCAGAATGAGGTGGACTGTCCCTCCTGCTGTGGCTCTCCCTGGGCCTCACAGTGCCCACTCAGGCCACAGTCCCCATGCAGGCCTTGTCACCTCAGGGGCACCCTGGGCTCCTCTGGCTGAGACACCCTCCACTGCCGTGTGACCCGAGCACTTGTGCCCCTGTAACACCACCGTGAGGATAAAGAAAGCATGACACAACCCATCACCTAAACTGTAGGGTGCAGTGACGCTGGTGAGCACCAGGCTGAGAGCCATGGGCTCCTCTGTAACCACTGGCTTCTCCCATTAGCCAAGGGCACCATGCCACCCCTTTTCTGCTGGTCTGGAGCCTGCAAAGCGAGCAGGGTGGGCGTGGGACCCCCACGGGGCTGTGCGGAGCAAGCTGTGAATGGCAGATCTGTTGCCAGCTCCTGACTCTACGGTTTTCCAGAGATGCCCATGGCAGGCTATGGATTGTCCTTCTCAGCAGTGTCACCAAAAGGAGAAAAGGTCCTTTGGAAATCGATGACAGCCCCAGATGTGTCTATTGGAGCACAGAGCTCCTGGGGCCCAGCTGGCAACCAGGGCAGGGTGAGGCAGCCCATGCACACCCCCTCCCTGGCCAGCCTGCCACCCCTGCTCAATACGTGAGACTCTGGCCCCTGAGACTCTGCCTAGCTCCTGGCCCTGGCTCAGTATGTGGCCGGGCCCAAGAGTAGGTGGAAAGACGGTGTCTAGTCCCCACCCAGGACCCATCCCTCCCCTCCCAGGTGGCCATAACCACCACGTCCTCCAAACAGCCTGGGCCCCACAGCACGTTCCCAGTTTGCTTCCAGGAACTAGAGAAGCCATGGTGCTGAGGCTGGGGCCACTCCCCTTGCAGGGCCCTCCACCACCAGGGAGAGGGACTGGGCTCCAGCAGCGACAGACACCAAGGCCATTACCGAGGCCTCTTGGGCCATCCTGCCAGGCAGGCCTCCCCAGCCCAGGAGGCTGGCATCACCTGGGGCTCAGCAGCACTAGAGGGCAAATGCCATCCACATGCAGTCAGGAGAGCCACCTACTCCCAAGCACCCCCACCCAGACCCCCACCCTGATGAAGCCCACAGAGCCACGCCCACATCTGTGGGGAGGGGCAGCTCTGCCAGAGTTTCTCTCTGACCTTCCCCTGGAGGTTCTTCTGGCTGTCCCCAGTTGAGGGGACCTGCCGAGGGCAAGCCGAGGGGGATGGGGGG